ACCTTGGGCTTCGAATCTCTTGCCGATGCGATCGTCTCGTCGTTCGAAGATCTGGACGTCGAACTTCAAAGGCCTTTTGAAGGCATCTGTGCGACAGTTCGCATCTCCATCGTACAAGAGCTGGTGCTCACACGACAGGCATTTGAGGGCATACTCGAGATTGGTAACAGTGCTGGCTCACCCATGGAGGAGATTGTCCTTACTATCTTTATCGAAGATGGGGACTTCAACGATGTCGACGAGAGGTTTGCGATTGGTGAGCCAACACCCGGTGGCGAGATAGTGCTGCAGAGTCCTGCAGGTGCTGCTAACGGGAGTGTGCAAACCATGGCTATGTTGGCTGCAGGAGGACAAGGCACCCTCAGCATCCTCATCATTCCACGGAGGGAGGCGGCGCCCAGCCGAGATCCAAGGTCTTACAGAGTGGCACGGCCACTGTAAGGACGTCTTTGTGCTTTCGACCCGATAGATATTAACCAAACATAGGAAGCAGATCAAGCCACCCGTTGCTGCGCCAAGGTCGGGGGGACTCTGCTTTACACACAGGACGGTGTTCGCATTCGAGTTCCATTGTACCCGGACAGCATCCAGGTTCTGCCCGATCCGCTGCTGACTGTGCGCTACTTCCACCAGCGTTTCGTGGAGGCGGATGACCCGTTCACCGAAGAGAAAGAGCCCTCAGTTCCCTTCCTGCTTGCGACCACGATTGCCAACACAGGTTTCGGCACTGCACGGTCGATGCGCCTAGCTTCCATGCAGCCTGAGATTATCGACAATGCGAGGGACCCCAAATCCTGCCTTTCCCCGCTGCCTTGACTAATTAAGTTTGGGGCTGACTCGATAATCTAGATCGGGATGTAGCCTCACCGCCGGAGGACCTGCTGATCACGTTCCAGATCGTTGAAACCCGAGTCAACGGCGTGCGGTCTGAGCGTGCACTCACCGCCGACATCGGGGATCTTCTTCCGGAGACTTGGGGGCCTGTTGCTCTCCAGAAGTTTTTTAGAGTGGGGTGCAAGCAGAAGCTCCAGAGAGCCTGTTCTTCCCCTATAGGACAGCACAGCAGTGATTGAGTGGCTGCTGACCGCCAGCCTCAAGGGCGAGTTCACTTCCTCGGAAACCACCTTCGAGAACCGAAACCCTCTTGGCGATACCGAGCTCTCGCTTGTTGAAGCAGTCCTTGATCATGACCTCATCCGCACCGTGCAGCTCAGGGGTCCGAACGGCGAGTTTGGATCCGGTGGGATTCTGGGCTTCTTTGTCAACGAGGTGCCGGATAGCAAGTCCCTGCCCGACACGGTCTTCAACAGCAGGGATCCTCGGACAAAATCACTTATCCCCAGCACCCCGCCCTCCCTTCCTCCTTCCTCCGCCCAGGATTGTGGACCGGAGGATGGAATTCTCGTGAGATACATTCGCGAGCAGCAAGTCTCCATCTTCTACATTTCGAACGTGCAAGTGAACCTTACCATCAATGCCACTGCTTTGCCCGTGGGGGCCGCAGGTTTGCAGACAGCCTCTCGGACCCAGAACGAGACCTCCCCTGGCTCCAACAGCACGGGCTATGTGTACCTGCGTTTTGCTCGTCCAACTGCGGTCGCGGACTCCAATTCCGTGCTAGCCGCATGCTGTGCCGATGAGGCCGTAGATCCGCAAAACATTTGGGAGACGCTTGATGATGATCAAGGCTTCGTCAACATCTTCGACGAGGAGGGCCGTTGTGGTGGATACATTCTCTACTTCCTTCCAGAGGATGCAGACCCAGTGTTGTGCTCAAGCAGTGAGAGCGCTGCACCTGCGAGTTCCACCACAATGTTGACAGCTGCTTCTCTGACGACGGCTGGTGTTTCGTCCACCGAACCTTTGGCAGCTGGCGCAAGCAGCACAAGCGTGCCGATGCCCACGAGCACTCAGAGCAGCACGCCCGCTAGCCCAAGCATGCTGTCGTCGACGACCTCTGTGACGACTGACTCTGGTTCGCCCACTACCGAAGCTATCGAAGCTTCAACAACTGGGTCAAGCCCCAGCAGCACCATGGTAGTGTCCACCAGCTCCAGCATACTACCTTCGACGACTTCTGTGACGACTGCCACTGGCTCGCCTACTACCGAAGCTATCGAAGCTTCAACAACTGGGTCAAGCAGCAGCCCCAGCAGCACCATGGTAGTGTCCACCAGCTCCAGTATACTGTCCTCGACGACTTCTGTGACGATTGCCACTGGCTCGCCCACCACCGAAGCTATCGAAGCCTCAACAACTGGGTCCAGCAACAGCCCCAGCAGCAGCGTGGGAGCGTCAACCACTAGCCCCAGCTTGTTGTCCTCGACCACCTCCCCAACGACTGCCGCTGCCCCGCCCACCGACACTTCAACAACTGGCAGGAGCACAACCAGTGATGCCTCGCCTCGTCGGTACTACAATCCTGGGCGCCGTTCATGGCGCTCCTGGCGCTCATGGAAGTGCATCTGGGGGAAGCAGTGGCGATGCTGGGGCCGCTACTGCTGCGACCAACACTGGCGCTGCCTGCCGCGAATGCTTTGCAGGCGTCAGAGAAGCGTTTGCTAAAATGTGCGTTAATCTTCGTTCTTCGATTGTCTGATGTGTAAGATTGACTTGAAGCCGCACAGGCAGCCGAATACCGCCGAGGCAGTGAAGCTCTCAGCAACGCGCGTTTCAGAAATACGGCTACTCATGGATGGCGGAGATGCCTCCCACACATACAAATGCAAGGATGTTTGCAAGGGCATTTGTGAAATCCAGCATCCGTCTCCAGCAAGATGCCCGCACCTATGCAACACGAGACTCGATGCTGTCTTGCAAATCGCACAGGTGTTTTGTGTTCAAGGCCTATGCTCAAGCGTCATCTCAACAAATCAGACGCACGAGGAGGCCGGCTTGTTGCAAAAGCGAGTGCGGCGAACGGACGAGGTCTTCAGCGAGCAGGCCGAGGTCGGTTGCGAGCAGCCGGCAAAATATTGTCGGCTCTTCTGCAAGCAGGGCATCCTTCTCGAGGACGCGATCCATCAGTGTGTGGCGGGCTGCCAGGCGAAGTTCTCCGCAGTCCTGACACAGATGCAGGCCTTTGTGAGGGGAGGCTGCTGTGAATCTCGGGATGCCTGAGCTACAGAAGAGAGGCGCTACAAAGCGTTTATAGACGTTTATAGTGAACCCCAGAAAGCTGGAACATGGATTTAGGCTGGTTGGTGCTACCTCAAGGGCATGAAGAGAATGATGTTCCAACTTTCTGGCGTGTACGACATTTTGATTATGGAATGGGAGCTTGTGGCAGTGCAGGGCAAGTTAAGGTGATCGTGTATAAACAGGCTTCCGTTGACTTGCTGTGACTGCCCAGACCGAGGACACTTTAAGGAGGTCTGGTCCAGCAGCACCCAAATATTTTGTTACAAGAAAAAATGTATCGCAATAGGCTGCCGGTTTTTTGCCCAAACGTGGTTTTTCCTGCAGCCTGCACAAAGCCATGCGAAGAAGAGTGTGCACTGCTTGTAGTTCTACAGGCAGTGCGGCTTGTGGAAGCTCTGACCAAGAGAGATGGCTCCCGCCAAGAAATGATCTAAGAAATGGATCTGGCATTCTTCTGTGCTGCCTTCAAAGAGGCGTGTCTCGTCTGGGATGGCTGCTTGAGGCTGTGCTATGTCGGATCCACATGTCTTCGATGCACCGTTACACTGAAGCGTTAACCCTAAAACGTCGTGTTCGGACAAAAGCCTTAATTCAGCCCTAAACCCTAAACCCAATGGCGTTTTGGCCTGATGTGGGACTCGATTTGCTGAGCCATTCTCGTGTCCAGCTCGCTGCCTTGCACTCCCAACCGGTTTAGAGTTTAGTAATTTAGGGTTTTGTGGAAAAGAGAATCGGTAACTTGAGACTCCCCAAGGAGGGGTCATGTGTATAGTACATATAGTACAGGATACTCTAGTAGATCATGGTAATCATCTGCTAACTATAGAAGACTCTAACATGATTCCCACACACACACACAGCCATGCCGTCTTGGACATGGCTCTCCATGGGAAGCCCAGCGGGGAAGCCTCCAGAGGCAGGCTCAGCACTGTGAGCTCGGGTCATCACCCTGAGATCCCATGGCATGGAACCCCCTGAAACTTAAAGCAATTCAAATCCCAAAATGTGAAGTTCCCCCGACTCTGACTTCAGCATTATACTACGCTCCTCTCTCTCTCTATACTGTAGTATGTTGTAGTATGTTACATTGTGGTCGTATATGCCTATAGCAGGAGAGCCGAAGCTCGGTTTTGTGGGCTCTGGGGGAGTTCGGGACCTCCAAGCATCCCAAGCATGCTTACACCGAAGTCGATCTCAATTACTCAAGCAACGACCATTTTCAACAGCATCCTGAGCCTCGATCCCATGATCATCCAGATTCCAGAGAGGTGAGCCGAAGCTCAGAGCGATCGCTGCCCGGGGCCCCCGGGAGCCGGTAGCTGAAGAGGACAGCGGTCTGGGACAAAAACCCCTGAGCTCAGTTCTATTCGTTCCTTGAGCCCTACGCCAGCCATGCGAAGTCCTGTTGGGCTGAATGAATGGAATGAATCACGCGATGTCTTGCTTGGTGGTAGCTCTTGCAGAGCATGCCAGGAGCCAGGGATCCTGCGGACTTACGGGCTGCCTTGCACATACGCGAAGAAAAGGTTGGTGGCGCACGCGAAACTGCTCAGCAGCTCTTTAGGCCGCGCCTGGAAAGGCAGGGGCCTTGTTCTAAGCTAAGCAGTTCGTGTGTTGGTTTCAAGCTCCGGGCCATAGCAAGTTTTGTAGTGAATGCTTCCTTTATTTGCGGCTGTGGTTGGGTGCAGTGTGAGCTCTGCCAATGCAAGCCGAATGCCTGTTTCCCAAAGGCATCCGAATTGCTAAGCGGCTAGGGGACGTGAGGCGGCTGTGCAGGTTCGAGTGAACATGTCAACGCCCGCAGCTGGTTTCTGCTCGGGGTGCTTGATTTTGATCTCGGCGCTTGATCCTATAGAGCCATGGAAGCAGTCCCTTTTGGCTTCACGGCGTTTCTCCCCAGCGTGGATGATGGTACGCAGGGCGTTCAACCTGCAGCCGCAGAGGAAAAGGATACTTCATCAGAGTTCTTTGATGCCCAGGAGCAGCGAGACAGCGCCTTGGTTAGTATTTTGTACAGTAGCAGGGTGCCGAAAGAAGTTCGCATCTCCTTAGGGCAAGCAGAGACAGGAGAAGAAAGCTTTCGGATTTGTTCGGGTGACCCTTACTGTTTCAGTAAGGGTGCTTGAGTAACAGAGTGACGAAGTCTTCAAGCATTTTACAATGTAACGATTCGCGTTTCAACTTCTGCTGATTGAGCCTGTTGCTCCCAAAAGCCACCTCAACCCCAAACCCTAAACCCTCAACCCTAACCCCCTAAACCCCTAAACCCTAAACCCCTAAACCCTAAGCCCCTAAACCCTAAACCCTAAGTGCTTTTTTCAGGGGGTGTCGCGATGAATGTGACCGCCGAGGGTATCCAAAGTCTGGCGCAAAGGCCAGGCTCAGGGCTGCAAGGGGTGTAGATAGATAGGGTCCTTCTTGAGGTTTGCGGTCTCGGGTTTGAGGTTTTTTGAGTTTAGGGTTGAGGTTTAGAGTTTTCGGTTTGAGGTTTAGAGTTTGGGGTTTGAGTTTTAGTTCAGAGTTCAGGGTTTGGGGTTTAGAGTTTAGGATTTGAGGGGCCCGAGGGGCCAGCATGTGTTCACTCGATGACTCCCGCAAAGTGCAGTGGCAGGTGCAATGATTTGCCTACGGCAAGCAAGGACCGGGGTCGGGGTTGTTAACTTGTCCATCATCTCTGTCTCTGTTCGCTCGTGCTTTCTGCAGCCTTGTGGTTTGCTCGGAAGCAGTCGTCATCATGTGAATCTCTCGGCTTTCTTGAAATCGCTCAGGAGGCTTACCAGTTGGCTCAGCAGGTGCGTGATGCTGCTCGCCGGTACTCTGGTTGGAGGGCTTTGAGAGGGGTCTTGTGGCTCTGAGCAGTGTAGGATTGCCTTGAAGATTTCCCACGCAGTGTTTCCGCACAACTGAGCGGGATGGTGTCTCGTGTTCGAGGTGGAGTCATCTTGTGCTCAAAATCGACCTTTCGCTCTTTTCGCTCTAACAAAGGACACCAAGAACATGATCAACTGCTGTGGGGATGAGAAGTCGAAGGTCTGTCACGATGGGCTGCTCGAGATGATCGACGACCGCGAACGCGCGCTGATACATGTCTTGGGGTTCCATATGAAAAAGTAGTATTGCTCGTTTCGCTGGTGCTGCAGTGAAGCAGCTTCGTGTGATCATGTACCAATTAGCATGAACTTATTTTTTGTATGTGCTGAAGGTGAGCAGACCGGGTCCTATAGGTCGAGCAAAAATCCTCACTTGGCGCCCATTCGCCTCGATTTCCTTAGCAGCGGATGCAGGCAGACACTTCGAGCTTATCCTGGCGATCGCCAATGGTGGGCACCAGTGTGGAAACCTTTTGCAAGCCGTGATGGACCTGTACCAAAGGATTGACAAGATATTCGACATCGAAGGTCCTCGGGTTCAATCTGGACATTGGGATACGTGCGTATCAAATTTGAGAGCCGCTCGTTTGCTTTGTGTCTTTGCATGCCAGGCTCCGGGAATGCTGGCAGTAACGTCAGCTTCAACAGCAAGTTCGTCCAGCAAGAGCTGCAGCGTTTGGATGTGGTGATCACAGACCTGGCAAACACGGAGCAGACCCTGTGCACTTTGAGCAGTGCAGATCACAGAGACAGACTCATGCGTGCCATCCAAGCCGTGTCCAGGCAGCTGTGTACATCTGACATCCTGGCGAAATTGAAAGAGGTCTTGAACACCAAAAGTCGCATTGACGAGCAGCAGAACCAGGAGCACCTCAAGCGTGGAGACAAGCAGGCCCTCGTGTGGGTGGCAGAGGCTGAGAAGAACTGGCATAAGACCCGCTTGGACCATGCTGTGGAACACCGCGACAGGACCAAGAGCAGCATGAGACAACCATCAGTGTGTGTGTTGAAGCTGCTTAGTGCAACCGCGAAAGGGTCGTTGTTCTGTGGTTTCTGTCGTAGAGAGCCGCAGGTAATCTCGATGCCAAGAGGAAAGAGCTGCAAGAGCTGCAAACTCGCGAAAGCGTTTCTCGGGAAGACCTCTTGCGCAGCCAAAGAGAGCGCAAGAGGCAGCTGGAGAAGCAAGTCAAGGAGCATGCTGTACGGACACGTGTGAGTTGTTGTTCCGGCAGCCGGCTTGCCTCGACAGGAGTTGCAGGAGCGGAAGGAGAAGGAGCAGGCCAAGCTTCAGGAACCCATCGACCTGTGCCAGGACAAGACCGTGGAGCTGCAGAATCGACTCTTGAATCTCGGGAATTGTTTAAAAAGTATTTTGTGGTGCACCAGCTCTGCCTTTAGCTGCCGAGGGCCGGCCCTCTGATTCATTCCTTGCCAGGAACCTGGATGCGCACAATATCAACCACATAATCATCGTGGTAGATAAGAGCGCGAGCATGCACGGAAACCGCTGGAGATCGCTGCTTCGCGCGGTCGATGCTTTTCAAAAGGCTTGCGTCGCGAAGGGCTCGCAGGACCGGTCCGGGCTGATGGCTAGACTGCTTTGCAAGGGAGGAACATGTAAGCATGAAGACCGCCTTCAACGTGTCTGCAGGACAAAGTCACGGTTATCACCTTCGACGTGGAAGCTTCAAGTCTTGTCAAAGCAGCTCCCATTACATCCGATATCGTTACTCGATTCGGGCAGTACTTCGTATGCTTGGGATTCTGTTGAGGTTCATGCATTTTAAGAAGTGGAAGTGCCATTTTGGAATGGCCGAGGTTGGCGCGTTGAGGGAAGTGGCGCCGTCATTTGGAACAGCATTCACACCTGCCTGGAAGAAGGTTAAGGAGCTCATGCCCACGGCTCGTGATGTTGCAATGATGAAATTAAGTGCATGACACTTGATAGAAACTTGTGAGCTTTGTTGGTGAGGAGCATGCAGCCGATGAGCCAAGCTTCGCTCGCATCTTCGTTGTCTTCCTCAGTGACGGTCTTACAGGCACAGAGGATGTCAGCACAGCCACTTCTATTGCAGCAAAGTTGAACGCTGACGCGACGGCAGCTAAGAGATCGATGTGTGCATTCTTCGTGCATGTGGACGACACCCCATCTCGTCAGATCGAAGAGCGTCTTCTGCCGATTGTAAGGGCAGCCAATGGCGGGCAGAAGTGCAAGGCATTGGGAGAGAGTACCGTGGATCTGTTAACGCCCGTGACTACAGGAGACCTGACGTCCCACTTTGCACAGCTGGCGAGCTACGTAAACATGGAAAAATGTGTGCTGGAGAGCAGACTTGCCATGGTCAAAGCACAGGAAAAGGAGCTGAGGTCTAGAAGCACGCAGGAGACAAAGGCCCTGACGCAGGTTTACAAGGATCAGATGCAGGCCCTGACCAAGGCCAACAAGATTGCAGAGAAGAGCATGAAGAATGATCATGCCACATTGCAGAAGCTCTTTGCCGACATGGTCGAAGAGTTGCAGGAGGAGGTCAGAGAGCTTGCGTCAGCATCGGGAAATGCGGAGGGAGCTGTGCTGCAGCTCGAGATTGAGTACAAGAAGAGCCAAGCAAAACACGCCGCAGAAGAGGCTTCCTTCTCTCAGAGCGAGGAAGCATTCAAGCAGACATGCGAGAGCCTGTCCAAGATGAGCCTGAACCAGGCGAAGGAGCTTGAGAAACTAAGCAATCAACACAGCCAGTTCTTGGAGCAGTTTGGCACCACCGACGCCACGCTACTGTTCCGGCAGTTACAGGGTTTGGACAAGCTGACGAAGCAGCTGCAGAACAGCTCTGTCATCGAGCAGGACCCGGTTCTGGTCCGAAGCTGTGCGTCGAAGCAACGGATTTCGGTTGAAGTTGACCCGACAGGACCTGTGCTGCATGGTGCACAGCATGGTCACCTTCACCAACAGCTTGAAGGATCAGATCAGCAATCCACTCCCTGGAGGTTTGGTGGGTGATCCCTGTCGACAGTGGTCTGCTTTCCTTGAATCCCCATCTCTACCCGTCCAGGAACCGAAAAAATCACCAAAGCCAAGGCCTTGCATGTGAGAGCTCAGGGCAACCGTAGGCCATTCATTCAAAGCTGGAAATGCAACTGTTGTATTCCTGCAGGTGGTGCTGAAAAAGCTGTTGAAACAGAGGCGGTTGAAGTACAAGGCCGCACGACTCTTCTTCTGCACTCCCCAGGCATCGTTCAGAGTCTGTGCCACCCCTCTTAAGCTGCGAATCTCGCCCGTGTCTCGGTGTGCTTGAATTTCATGGTACTTTGCGGCGGAGCGAAAGATGTTGGACGTCCGAGTTGTGCGCCATGTTGGATCTGCCTTCAGACATCTTCGCATCAAGTCGACACGGCCATGAGGGGGCAGAGTTCGCCAGGATCTGCCAGAGGAGGATATGCAGTCGCTGCTCCTTGGCGCATGTTGACTGATGCCTTGCAGTGCACCACGAGATTATGTGCAGGCAGGCTCTGGCAAGACTTTTCCCGCTCCGGGTAGTGCATTGGCAAGTCCAGATGTTGATGTTGCCTTGTAGGCAGAACTGCGCGCCTCGGTTGAGAGACCACATCTTCATTTTACACGCCTCGGCAACTGGACCAACCAAGGTTGACCTATGAAGCTGAAGTACAACGGCTTGATCCAGAGGAAGATCGTCAGCTATCGCATGTCTGTTAGGGCTAGGTCTAGGTGTGGCATCTGAATTTTACAGAGAACTTGTCAGCAAGATCTTCACGATCACAATACGTCAGGGCAGGCAGCAGAGAATGTAGGTGATGTGGCAATGCGGCAAGGGGATGCTGTAGCAAGATGCGCAATCACTTAATCCTGGTCATGCCGGAGGAGGTTTGCAAGCCCATCCTGTCTGCGGGAATTACCGCGGAACGTGCCCATCTGCTCATAGACACATCATGTACGAGGATGAGATGAGCTGCTCACCAATCATGTTAAATATCTCTATGAGGAATCTCTTTCGGCAGGTAGGTTTGGCTGTCTCGAAACTAACAACATTCTGAGTAGCAGAGTGTCGGCTGTAGCTCTTACTGGTAACGCCTGGCATGAGCCAGATGTGCAGAGGACTCGCATGCAGGTATTTGCGCGGCCGTGGATGAGATGGACAACAAAAAGGTCATGGAACTAAAGAAGGCAACCGGAGCGGAGAGTGCATAGCCACAGGCATGAAGCAGCACAGGGAAGGGAGTCGCAGGTTGCAGGTTCTTGACATGCTCACACGCCATGCTTGCTCTGTCCTGTCCTAAGCTTAAGCTTTCGCCTCGTGGGCAGCATTCCACGGAAAATAACCCACGCAGATGCTTCTTCTCTCGGATTGCTGTGAATGTGCACACGAGGCCCGTGCAGGGTTACCAAGCACAACTCTTCTTCGGGCTTCTGCAATGTCAGCCTGTGCAGGATCTTGTCACGCTGGTTCATCAGAAGGCTTACGAGATGGACGAGTGCGATACACAGGACTTTACACCCAAGCTCAGGTGTTTCATGTTGCTGCCTGAGGCAGTGTCGTTCAAGCCCCTTTGCATAACATGCATGTGACTAGCAATCATAGCCTCCTGCGCTGTAGTCCAGACACGGAGTGTTTACCGTGTGAAGGACATTGAAGAGCAGCAACGAATCAAGAAGAAAGAGCTGAAGAACAAAAAGGCCGTTAGTGCAACAGACACCAGATGACGAAGCAAATGTTTGCTTCATCAACTTGAGTGTGATGTCGTGCAATCTTCATGCTGCACACCCGCCTGCCAGGCCGAGCTGCTCAAGCAAGAGGCAGAGCTAAAGCAAGTTCAAAAGACACCTTCCAAGAGTAACGTCAGCACAAGCCGCTCGGTCAGCAGCAAAACGGGAACGGCAGAGCAGGGGGTCGATGTGCCTTGGTGGAGCCGTTAGATTCAGCTGGGCGGACAGATATGTGCCAAGCCCAGGTGACGAAGAAAACGACTCCAATTGGGAGGTCGTCGACAATTTCCAGGAGCAAGTGCATGACCTCAAGGACGAAATCAAGGACACCTGCATTGAAACGATGAGGGGCCGAACGCCGTCGTGCCGTCGTGCCTTGCAAGCCGTAGTGAAAGCCGTTCCCAGAACTGCAACACCCTTGAGCCGGATATCGCAGTTCAGCCATGACTAATCAACGACCGTTTTCCAACTTGACTCCAACTTGATCAACGGATGAGACCAGACTTGCAGCCCCGACTTTGACTTTCAGTAGTTCCACCTCAGTTCGGGCTTGTGCCGGGGCTTGTGAAAAGCAAGCGAGACATAGTTTCGCCACCAGTTTCATGCCCGAAGCCCTCCAGCTTTGCGCAATGTGTCCCTTCAGGATATTGAACGTGACATCAAGGATCTCGAGGCAGACAAGAACGGCGCCATGGCAGATTATCAAGTGTTGGTAGCATCTTCGGGAGCTAGGTCGCTGTTTTTGAGGTTCAAGTCTGCAAACTAGCTAACATGATGTCCAGCACAAGTTGGACAGGTGGTATTGTGTTGGGAAGTTTGCCGACAGCTCGCTTTCTCGATTGGCCACCCGTGTGCTCGGGGAAGTCCGGGTTTCCAAACTCGACATCCGAAGTTAACACGTGGCATGTTTGCACGATACATGGACGTTCTCCCGAAGCAATGCTCGCCCGTCTATCCCAAGCTTTATTTTGCACGGATTCTACGAGTCTGCATCGTGCTTTAGTGGCCAAGTTCGAAAGATACACGAATCGACCCCCTACCTGTCCTTACCCAAAACCCGAAACACCCCTAAACCATAAACCCCAAACCCTCCACGAATCCGAGAGCTGGCCCTACGCTTTCCACGGAAGCCCGGTTTGAGGTTTCAAGAAGGCCCAGCAGGCCCGGTGGAGACGGGGACTGTCCGATCCCAGGTGTCGTAGGATTACCCTTGGGCGGCTTTACGATCTTCTGGCTTGGGGCGGTCCTTCCAAAATGACGCGCCTGACCGTTAGCAGTTCACGACAACTGAAGGAGTGCTCGGCTTCAGGTGATAGCGTACTGCAAGACTGGCAGCCAGGGTCTTCCTCACTCCAATCGAGAGCTTCCGTTCTTCTGCATCCGTCGCAGCTAGCGCTGGATTTTTATTGCACACTGCTCGGTTGCGTGGTCTTCCCTTCCGCTTCTTCAAACTTGAGGCATGAAGTTAAGTGACTCGATCCTCCTTGACTTGGTGCAACCAGCCGTAAAGACTGGCAGGCGACACAAAAGAGGTTGGAGCCTTGCACGCGCACCCTCTCGTATCTTGGTCGCAGTTCGCGGCCTTAGGGTCCAAGACTCCTGCACCGTTCAGCGTGCAGGAAGGAGGCTGCTCTGGCTTGTAATGGCACGTGCAGAGGATGGCAAGATGCCCGTCTCTGTGGTTAGAAGCTGTTTTCTGGGACAGGCTCGCTCTCCGAAGTGTGGTGCTTTTTACCGACAGAGTGTAGGACTGTAGGAACGTCGGCTCGGGTGAAGCTCGGAGCGAGTGCTGCTCAGGCTCGCAGTGGAGATTTGCTGCACCACCTTCCGGGAGCAGGTCGCTGAAGAGGACAGCTGGCATTTCCTGTGCTCTCAAACCCTACATCCTAAATCCTAAATGTCTAAGCCCCGAAACGCTGAGCCACACTCTCTTCGCGCCATCAAGCCGAAGCTAGCCTCCTTTTCGTAAGGAGAAAGCCGCTCTGCGAAGCACCTTCGAGTCCTTTCGACGCTTTGCCTCCAATTTGGGCTTGAGACAGGTCGCAGGAGTCGGAAGTAATACCAATGCGGGGAACCGTCTTACAGATGCCCTCTCGAGCTGCACTGCCTGATTGTTTTTGGTGGGGCTGTATCTTGAAGATGGACTGTCCCCTCAAAGGCAAGGTGGGCCTTAAGACGTGTGGAGTCGGGAATCGCGCTTTCCATGGCAGAAGGGCAGAGCTTCGTTGTTGGAGTCTTCAAAGAGAGCGCAGCTTTGAGGGAAGTCGCCCTACAGGAACCAACATCTCCAAGCCCATGAGAACCTTCGTGAGCATGACGGAGCAAGCCAAGAGCAGCCCAGATGCACAGAGAGGCAAATGCATCCATGGGGACTTACCGGTTTGGGATTTGGGGTTTAAAGTTTAGGGAGCCCCTAGGAAGTGTTGCGAGCCGCCATCGGCAGCCAGTGGAGGTTGTGTTTCCAGCTGGTGTGCAGACAGCAACACACAAAGCACGCCACATTTTTCTACAGGACACCAGCTTCAGATCCGCCTTCAGTCCAGGTATGTTCACGGACCGCTCCTCGATGCAGCCGCCCACTCTCCTGGGCGCACATGGTAGCGGAAAGCGCATGGCTTTGGAAGATGTCAAGTGAAGGGCCACTACTGCAGGGCAGTGGCAGCGGGGCCAGAGGCAAATGGCCCAGCCATGAAGATAATCTATAGATATATATATATATATAGATAGATAGATAGATAGATAGATAGATGGATAGATAGATAGATAGATAGATAGAATACATACTATATACTATATACTGTATATCGTCCGTCTTACGAGAGGCATCGTGTCCCCGACAGGTTAAGGAAGCAAGGGCCTGGGCAGACAGGAGGACTTTTATCAATTTCAGGCTGTGAAACGACGGAATTTATTTGCAGCAAACAGCCAAAGGGGATCCACCGTGCTGTCCACGATTTCGCCACCGCTCCCACAATAGTCGAGACCTGAGGTTCATGTTTGGCCCCTGCATTGCCTTCACTGAAGCTTGCTTGTCTCCGGTAGGTCAGGCCCATATGCTAGGTGCGTCTCAGCGGGAAGCATGGAGGATCCTGCCTTTTCCGGGTTATGAGGCGGTAGAGTGTTTGCCGTCAGCAGCATCGACTCCTGGCACTCCTTGTGCCGGCTTGAAGGTTTGTGTGCAGAGACCCAGGACCTGAAGAGGATCGGCAAGCGAGTTTAGTCAGTGTAGCAGGCTGATAGTACAAGCTGGGACCCTTTGATGGGTAGCAGCACTTTCTAGTACTAGCATATGCAGTCAAAAACTCAAACAGGTACGGTACAAGTGTGCCTACAGAAAGTTTGCAGCACGCATCTGTATCTCTTTGGCCCTTCAATGAGCATTGCCGCCGTTTTGCTCGTGGGTCGGGTCGATGCCGCACGCCTTGCAATCGGCCGTAGACATTGAGCTGCCTGTGATGCTGCGCCGTTCCGTTTTTTGAGCTTCCACAAAAGCGCTTTCAACGTTTGTGCCAGCCGGTTCAAGAAGACGCCATTCAGCCTTTTTGCACCTCCATCTGGGCCTCAAGACCCCATGCGGATTTGTCGAAATATCAGCTTGTCATCCCGCGACATTGCTTGAAATCAAGTTCAAGGTGGTAGCGTCGTAGCATTATGTAACATTGAACCTGCCCGTATGTCTTCCGACCATGCAAGGCTTGCGAGAGGCTTGTAGCCTTCTTGCAGCCTGGCAGTCTCTCAGACTGGTTGGCAGCACGCTTCCAATGATTGAAGCTTCCTTGGAATGCAACTACAGTAGTGACTTGTAACTAGGTGCTTGAGAATATGCTTGGGGCTCGCTGAGTTGTAAGGCTTGTAAGGTCGCATCCAGGAAGTTGATCATGATGTTTGCACAGGGCTCGGACGTTACTGAGCCTGTGTGACAGGCATCAGGTTCCCTGATGCATCAGCAGTTCACAGCACTGGCTCTAAAGTGCAGTCCTTGATCCAGTGCTTCGGCAGTTTGGGCGGTGAATCAACCAGCCAGCTCCCGGCGGCTGTCGCCGACGCCAAGCGAGTTAACGTTCCACAGAACATGTCACAGCAAGGTGTGGCTAAGGCGGAAAGTGTTTGCCGCCTTCAGCCTCACATCTGACCCTCCCAGGGTCAAGTTGAAGGCTGGCGTTGCACGGAAAAACTTTGCTTTGCTTAATTTTGCTTAGTTTACTCAATCACTCGATGTTCGGCTTCGTATACAGCGAGCACGTCAGCGAGCTATATCAGAGATTGTTGGCCAGCTCAACAGCGCTTGTAGCAGGAGGAAATCCTAGCCTTGCAAGCTGCCACCGGCACTTCTGATTTGTAGACACACGGAGGAAAAGGCGAGTGGATTTGCTTTCAATGCAAGTTGGCTCGTGGCTTCAGCCTCGTCCACCTGGGTGGAGCTCTCATGCAGTAGCTGAAGGTCGAACTTTTCGTAGATCGGACGATGAAGCGCAAGGCATTGTGGCTCCTCTTCGGTGCCGCATCCGGAGCCACTCCAATACACATGTCGAACTTAAGAGTCTTGTGTCGGCGCCCTGTTTGCAACAGAACTGTTTAATGCCGTAGGCAGTCTAGCAACGTCGCATGTCCTGAAGTTCCGAAACTCTGTTTCCTACTTCGCTCGTCCGGGTTCAGCCGCGCCGAGCAGTATGAAATCCATCTGGACTCACTCCTCACGGACCCCACAAAGATGTGCTTCCACAAGATGCGACTTGGATTGCAATTTGTCAGAGGAACGTCTCCCATGGCAGACACTAGGCTGCGTAGTACACGATGTTGTATCACCGGCAGTATACGGGGGTACTGTTTCGCTTCCAGAAGTGCGAGTTGCAAGCTGCATGACATGACTCTAGCCTGAGCCCTGTGCTTGTGCTCTTAGTCCTAGTCGGTGATATCGTCGAACATATGTTGTTGCGACTCATTTCCGCAAGCCTTTCCTTGCGGCCTCACGGTCTAAAGAACTTTGTTGTGTGCACCGCCTGACCATTCGTTTGGGCCAAGTTGCTTATGATTTTCTGCACAGGTTCCTGACAGGCCAGCGTCTAGGAGCTTGCGTGTGAGCATGTGTGAGCACAACAAGTTCGCCCGTCTGCGCTACAAGAAACAGAGTTCATGCACAGCAGACTATTGCAGTGTGATGCATCTGGGTTGACGGCAGCGCTAAGCCCAGTGCTTTGTGTGCAAGAGCTTGCTTCGAAGCTTCAGGCTCTGCGAGGATAGCGACCAGGTAGAGTTCGAGCTTGGCAGAGTTGCGATGGACCAAGAAGGATTGTTGCAGGCGATGCTTCAGGAGGTGTACCATAATGACAGGCCCATGGTTCAAAATGTCCTCTGTGCATTGCACTCGGAGCCCAAGTACAAAGAGAGCTTGTTGAAGCTCAAGTCACCTCTGGCGATTCGAGCATTCCTGAACAAACTGGTGAGCACACGGCCGCAATCCTCGAAAGGCGGGCAGCATCCTAATCATACTCCGTCACAGGGGCTATCTCTACTGGAGACTTCATCCTCGCAGAATTCGGACGAACAAGTGGAAGCCATGCGGAGGCAGTACCAGCAGTACGTTGGCACAGAGATTGTGGAATCGGAATCTCACTGGACCTTGATTCATGACCTTGCGCCTGATGCAGGAAGGGTGTCCCAATGTCTGGGTACTTCAGCATTCTTCACAGGTCAACAGTGCCAGCAAGCTGCAGCTGCTGCATCGGCTCCAGCAGGACACGTGAAGAGTGTTTTGGACGGCATGAAGATTGAGAAAATACTGGCTCCCCCTGCAGCCGCAAAGCCGGCGCTCTCGGCGACCACCAGTACTTGTCTGATGCGAGCTGGAACAGTCTTGACAGTTGGAGTTCTCGGGTATGAGTTCTGTGGTCATGTCCGCCAGTATTGGAACAACCAGGTTGATCGCTATGACCTAACAAACAGGCTGGTCTCCACCCTGGTTTCAGCAACGGCCGCTGCTGCCGGGGCATTTGCTGGGGCCAGCCTCCTGTCAGGGGCTGATCCATGCGGGGTTGGCTTTGGTGCTACGGCAGGTGCTTGGCTTGCTTCAGAGCTCGCCAAGACAGCGATGCACAAGGTGTTCATGGAATTGTTCGGGGACAGCAGAGAGCGTGCCCTCCGAGATGCCTTTGCAGTACTTGGGCTCAGGCCCACTGCGCGCCCGAAGCAGATCCGTCAGCAGTACTTGCGCCTCGCCACTGAGTGCCATCCGGATAAAACTTTAGGCTCACGCGACCGTTTTGTGCGAGTGAACTCTGCCTACGAGCTGATCATCCGTGCCTCCCAACTTTGAAGCCGTGTACAGGCTGCTGACCGTTAGTCGGCAGTCATCTTCCTCCACATCACCGGAGGGCGTAGCAGTCTCTCTGTGTGATTCCATTGCCGTAGATGACTTCTGGACCACAAGTGTCTGCCACGTGAGATGTCCTAGCCATCTGTGGCGAGCAAACACTTCCGAGCTGTGACAGAAGTTTTGTTGACTGGACAGCCTCGGAACAGGATGTTTTGCGAATATGCGGCTCGTCAAGCGTTTTGCCTTCAAGGTAAGTGAGCTCGTGGCTTTAGCCTTGCGTAGTCACCGCTCTACCCAGCATGGATGACCTTCGCAACCACGTGGACTGTGTGCTGCAGTCTCTTTATGCGGAGAAGCCTGAGAAGCTCGGAGAAGTTATGTTCTTGTTGTGCACCATGGATGAGCACTATTCGCACCTGGCCAAGATCACATCAATCCCCAAGGCTATGGAGGGATATCTTGAGAGGCTGCTTCTCCAGAGCCCTATGCCATCGCCTGGGACTGGTGGGATCCCTTTGAGTGTTGACGAAGCAGAGGTGATGCTGAACGATTGTCGTGACAGATTTGGCACCAATGTCGTTCGGCTGGAAAAGGCGGGCATCATAAGCCTTTCCATTCGGGCCGGCTTATCCAGGAGCTATGCAGGTATGGCAGTGGGCTGCGCAGGAGCTGCGGTGCAGTTTGCAGGAATGACGTCTCATTCGCTGCAGCGCGCTTTCGTGATGACTGCAGTGTCCAGAGTTGCGGAAGCTGGGAGAGTTGTGCCGATTGACCAAGCGAATGTCTTCCAAGCCATCTTCATGAAGCGGCTCGCCAACGCTACAGCCGTGGAGTCTGAATTGGCTCAGCAGCTTGCAAAAAGGTACGGTGACTTGGGAGCCGTTTGCAAGTGGGCGGGCGCGGCTGGCGCCATCCTCCAGGTCGGGCTGCTCGGATACGAGCTCTATGCGGACATCCGGAAATACTGGAAGGGCGAAATTGACGGCTACCAGTGTGCCGAGAACCTGACCAGCTCCTTCGCCTCAGCCGCAGCTGGTGCTGGAGGTGGTCTAGCTGCGGTAACACTATGCGCTGGAGCTGCTCCTTGGGGCTTAATTGTCGCCTCTTTGGCGGCAGGATGTGTGGCATCTGGGCTCACATCCCTCGCAGTCCGTGCATGCTTCCAACGCTGCTTCGACAATGACCGGGACCGAGCACTGGACAAGGCCTATCAGGTCTTGGGCATCAACAGGGGCGCTGCTCTAGATGTGGTGAGGCATGCTTATCTGACCAAGGCCAAGGAGACACACCCAGACAAAGGTGGGAATGAGGAAATGTTCATTGAGTTGAACAGTTCCTACGAGCTGATCCGCGCCTCCCAATTTTGAAACACGCCGGAGCGTGTACAGGCTGCTGACCGTTAGTCGGCAGTCATCTTCCTCCACATCACCGGAGGGCGTAGCGGTCTCTCTGTGTGATTCCATTGCCGTAGATGACTTCTGGACCACAAGTGTCTGCAATCTGAGATGTCCTGGTCATCCATAGCGAGCAAACAGTTCCGAGCTGTGACAGAAGTTTTCTTGACTGGAAAGCCTCGGAACATTTTTGTGAACATGCCGGCTCGCCAAGCATTTTGCTTTCAATTCCATTTAGCTCGTGGCTTCAGCCTCGTCCGCCTGAATGGAGCCCTCATGCAGTAGCTGAAGGTCGAACTTCTCGTAGATCGGACGATGGAGGCAGGACCGTCACGTCTTCTCGCACTTATGCCATATGCAGTAGTGCAGACATCCCTGTGTGTTTACATTCTGTGACAGCCGCAGGGCATTGTGGCTCCTCTCCGGCGCCGCATCCGGAGCCAATCCAATACACATGTCGAACTTAAGAGTCTTGTGTCGGCTGTCCTGAAGTTCCGAAGCTCTGTTTCCTACTTCCTCGTCCGGGTTCAGCCGCGCCGAGCAGTATGAAATCCATCTGGACTCACTCCTCGCGGACCCCACAAAGATGTGCTTGCACAAGATGCGACTTGGATTGCAATTTGTCAGAGGAACGTCTCCCATGACAGACACTAGGCTGCGTAGTACACGATGTTGCATCACCAGCGGTATACGAGGGTACTGTTTCGCTTCCAGAAGTGCGAGTTGCAAGCGGCATGACATGACTCTAGCCTGAGCCCTGTGGGAGGCGGTTCGGCGCCAGGATTTTTGGCTGGGAGTCGACCCCCCTCGCAGGGCGTTGGACTTCTCCTGCCAGCTGAGAAGCCTAAGACGCCGCAGAAGAAGGCACAGTTTATGCAAGTGCTGAGCTAGCTGCAATCATCTAATTTCCGGGATCTAATCTTGCATCATGCTATGGGAGGTCTGAAGTGTGAGCCGTTGGGCCTTATTCAAGGTGTACTTGCTTCGAACGTCATGCTTACCAAACCTTTCTCTCAACTTGACAGCAGTGTAGGCTCAGGCACGACGTCTTAGAGCCAAAGATCATAGAAGGCATGGCAGTTGGGGTCCGGCGTCCGAGATCCCAAAGCCACAAGTCTTGCTAAATATATTCTGCTGCACGCTTGGATGCTGCGCTCAGGATTTATGTTCATTGTACGAATAGGTGAGATTCGAAGCTCTGTAGCGGAGTCGACTGTCCTAGGTTTTGTTGTGGCCATGGCAATGCCGGGCTGGCTTCGCTGGCACTGGCAGTGGCTTGTTTCAGGGCTTCTAGTTGCGCTGATGGTGATCCTGTACTTTGTTTCGACCCTCCTTGCGTGCTGTGTTCTTGTGGCCTGGATCTATGTCGTGGGCCACAAAATGATGATGAACCAAGCATATCCCTTTTCCCGTCCACTCGGTGCAACTATTGTGGTTTTCATGTTGCTAGGTACCACCCTCGTCACGCTCATCCCATGGCTTTTTTTCGGTGGGCGAGACGAGTGCGGGTCATTTGACCCAACCATGAAGACGCAGTGGGGATATGATTTTGAGGACTGGTGGACACTGCTGCACTTCCAGATGTCGGTCAACTGGTTCATGGCCATTGCCCTCTCGTGTTTGATCTTAGCCGATCATCCACCTTCCTGCTACGTGCGTGAATCCATCCGATGCGTTGTCTTCATGTTCCTGGGCATGCTTGCGAAAAACACGAGGACCGCTCTATACTGCTGCCTCGGCAGCGATGAGGATGAGGATGGTGTGAGGGACATGGTTCCTGATGCATTGATGCCAGCGACTTATGCAATTGCGGCATCACTCCTGAGCGACATTTGGTGCCTTCAGCTGGTGGTGGCACGTCTGCGAGCACTGCAGGACGCATATGGCGAGCCTTTGGGTTGTACTAAGCTCATTCGCTGGGGTGCGAACCTCCTAGTTTTCTGGCTGTTTGTGCTCTCGGCGTGCCTTTTCATCTCGACGATAGCTACCCTGGTGACGAGTCTTTGCTGCGTCTTGGGCCTGGCAGCTCTAGGATTTCTGATCTGCCGTGCTTACTCAGTGCCACTGCAAGTGTTGCGAGCTTCGAAGAGAGGCACGAAGGAAGGGCCAAGTGGGCCGCATGGAGTGTCGAAACAGCTGGAGCAGGAAGCATCTTTCGCCATCTCAGTGATCATCCAAGCGCAGGTTGCCACCCTCCTGGCAAACTTCTCCATGATTTGGCACTTAACCAGTTGGGCCCTGACTTACGTGCTCCCTACCACGTTTATCAACCATACCTTTGAGTATGGTGGGCTGGCTGACACTGTGGGAAACACGATAGGCATCCTGCTACTGATCAACAGCTCCCTTCGCCTCCCTCACTGCGGAAAGCATTTCAGGGCGAAGCTCGCGGACCCATCAGAGCAGAGCGCAGCAAGAGACGTCGAGGAGGATGCTGCGTGCCAATGTGGGCGGCACCTTGCTACCAAGGTGCTTACGGCTTTCGACGACGCCGCGCTCTGCGAGCGCTGCGCTTGGGAGCAGAAGGTTCAGGAGTTGGCTGGTCGGAGGATCACAACAGCACAGCTCTTGGATTTTCATGCCCGCCTCGGGAGAAGGCACAATGCTCGGGCTCTCCCGACTCTGATGCCTCACTTCGACCCAGAGAGATCCACGACCAACGACGTAGCGCCTCGCCTGACATATGAGTACTGGTTAAAATCATCGATTGGGGTCGCAGGGCAGACGCTCAAGCGCTCAGACTCTCAGACACCCCGAGACACAGAAGCACTCAGAACCTCAGTAGAAAAACGCCTTCAGCGCAGAACTCGGGACAGCAGCCGCCGTCTCCACCGCCCCTTCCCCAAGCCCTTCGGCGCCAAACTCGAACTCGGACACTCACACAGAAGACACTACATACCCTCAGACACTCAGGCACTCAGACACCGGACATTGAGAAAGGGAACACCATCCCCCCCTCCCCCCCAGCCCCCAGGCAGAGAAGACACTCAGACATTCAGACACTGAGACACCCAGACATTCAGACACTCAGGCACTCACAGACGTCTGAGCGTGTCTGAGTGTCTGAGTGTCCGTTGGGTCGGGGGGGGGGGGNNGGGGGGGGGGGGTGGGGTCTGAGTGTCTGAGAGTCTGCTTTCCGTTTTCCTGTCGGATTGCACGCCCTGTCAAAAATTCTAGCCTAACACACTAGAGATGTATAAACATTACCCAGATCTATTGGTGACACGCTTAGTGCTCCCCTTGCGCCAGGTGCGGCAGGCCATCATCCCGGAGTCTCGACTCGATGATCAGGGCAGCTCCTTGGCCGAGCTCTTCCAGCTCCGAGCAACTCGGGAGAAGTCGCTTCCAAAGGTTTGGCCGCTGCAGACGGGGGGTCAAAACGCCACGGCCCCGAAAGCCCCCCGGATGGTGACCCACCACTGGGCCAACCGCTTCCGTGACCTCGTGGCCGTGGTCTTGGCCGATGGCCTTGGCCTGAGGCGCTGGGACCAGTTGGCAGAAGAGCTGTCGAAAGGCCAGGAGGAAGAGATCAAAGCCCGGTTGCACGCCCGAGGATCCCTTGGCCTTGAATACTGGATATGCGCCTTCTGCATAAACCAGCACGCTAGCATTTGCGGAAGCTCCATGGGCGTTCGCGACACTGTCACTGGCGATGTCCTGCCCTCTTGCGACTGTGTCACGCCGAAGTTCTTCAACGACACGCCGATTCAGTGTGAGCTCAACAAGTTCGATGACATGATGGGGCACCTGCATCGACGCTACAAAGAGAGCTTCCTTCAGGCGGGATTGTAAATAACCCCGCACCTTTCATTCATACCCTAAACCTTAAACCCAGAAGCCCTAAACCTATGAGTTTGCCCGTTCTGCCAACAACAACCCCAGGTGGTGGCCGTTGACAAGGACTTCCAGGTCTTCTCGAGGGCCTGGTGTGTGGCTGAGCTGATTGAGGCCAACAGTTGCCAATTGGACCAGCGAGTGGTCCTCCATTCGCCCGAAGCGTTGGAGCAACACTCTGGGCAGCTGGGTTCACTGAAGGTGGAGAACTGCTCAGCCTCCCGGGCCGAAGACAAGCAGGCCATCCTCTCGAAGATCGGCGGCGCCACAGAGATAGCGCAGTTCAATACCGGACTCCAAAACCTGCTGGTGGGCTCTAAGGGACTTCTGGCAGGCTGGTTGGACGGCCAGCAGCTCTTGCAGGAGGTGGGTGCCATTGCGGCCCGCGCGCGAGCCCGTCAACGAGCCAGGGCCACGTTCCTAGAAGATCCAGGGGAAGCAGAAGAAGATTTTGTTTCGGTGTAATGAGTTCTTGGGGTTCTTGGGGCTTGCATCATGCAAGCTCATAGATCATGGAGGCTTTGCCGATTTGGAGACCTTTTTTTTCTTGGAGGCTGCGCTGCAGAGTCAGGGGTGCCTGCAAGAATCAAATGGGTAGTTCTCTAAATTAGGGTCCCTGTTTAGGTCCCCTATATAGTACGACACCCTTCTCAAAAGGACCCNNGACCCTAATTTAGTGAACTACCCAAACGGCCGTTAATTGAACGGTCTTCTTGACCTCCTGGGGCAGCCAAGCTGCTCTTCACCCCATGCCGCCTTCGTAAATCGTAGACGGCCGCGGTGGAGCTAAGTCCGGGAGGTGCTACGAGCTTTGTACCTTAAGAGTGCATACCATCCCCCTCCCAAAACGGAGGCCTTGGTAGTTTTTTTTCTGCTTTTTTTTGTCGGAAACTTGTGTATAGAGTTTCAAGCACTCCGACTTTGCCGAGCCCTGGGAAACGCTGAACGGTTTCAAGCTCCATTGGGCTATCTGAGTAATTCTGCATATAATTTCTTGGCGGCTCCATTGCATGGCCGAAGTACGGTGCACGCTGGACCACATAAACCAAGAGCCTGTGAGCCTTGCGCTCCAGCAGGATTTAGGGCAGTCGCACCAGACCGGGGGGGATACCAATATTAAGACTAGGGGTAGCAGGGGATCTGATGGCAGGAGAACCCAGGAGGGGACCAATAGACATGCAAAGGCAGGAGATCTTGTAGCCAGAGGCAGAAGGAGCAGGGGAAGGCCAGGAGGCTGAAATGGTGGGGGCAGCTACGCCAGCACAAAGCAGCCCAAAGAAACGCGCAAATTGCATGCCAGCGTTGAGTCTCGAGGATCGAAATCCGGCGGACCTTGGCACATGCCACTGACCGAAGACATGAACACACCCTGAAGCCTCAACCCTAAAATCCTGACAGTGGTTGATTGCAGAACCCCTTGTCGCACAGGCCTGGGCCGCAGCGGCTGCTCAGAGCGATTCGTAGAGGAGAGGATGCGCCAGGTGTGGCCTGTCTCACAGAAGCACACAATAGAAATGAGGGGGGTGGGTTTGGGGTGGGGGGGGGGGGNNGGGGGGGGGGGGGGGGGGGCTTCTGCGAATTGGAGAGGTTGCTGTTGTGATTCCCTGGAACCTTTGTGCTGAGATGAGCTGTTCAGATGAGCTGAGTCTGAGATCTTCGTCAGGACCCTTGAAGTCAGAGCCCCGCTCTCCCGGGCATCGGGCTGTTGAGACTTAGGTCATGTTCCGACCCTCAACTTGAAGTTGAGCCTTCCAAAAAAAAGGTTGCAGAAGACCTGTGATCTGGGGTGTGGGAATGGAAAGGACTCTAAAGGCTTTTGGAGCCTCTTGCCGGGAGGTCCATGCTGCATGGTCGCGGGCTCTAAGTTGGAAGGGTCGTTCTATGTTGTAAATTGTTGAGATGGTAAACCTGGTAAACAATAGTCCACTAGCTGTAGGAACAAGGATTCAACTCTTTCGTGGTTCATCAAAGGTCTCGCGTTGCCGGCGCCTTGCGCCTGCGCGCTGCAGCGGCGGCGCAGTCGTTGGGAGGAGTCAGACTTCGCACCTTGCCTCTGCTTGCTTCTGCTGCCAGGGTCTTGTTAGGCCTTGGCATTTGACAAGCGATGGCACGCTTGCATTGCTGCGTATGTGTAGAACTGCCTTTGTCTGAGTTGCCTTTTGCGGTTTTTTAAATTTGTACAGCCCAACGTTTGGCTTCAGCAACTCTTTCTAAGCTTTCTAAGCTTGCTCAGCATCGAGACCTGCTCGTCAGCTCGGCTGAATTGCTGATGCCCACGCCGGTTCACTTCATATCATCTGCCAAGTTTCTGTACATCTGGGGCCACGTGCCAGGGTCCTGTTAGCCCTGGCACAACGGTCATCGGAACTGCTGAACTGGTTTTCGTGAAATGCTCTGACTTAATTGAGTCATTCGAAGCCGTCGCCCTTACTGCCCTAGTAGCTGTGAAAGCCCAAGCGTTGATATGGGTGTGTAGTTGGCACCTCGTTGTTCGGATATGTCAAAGTGTGCCGCGGCAAGGCGTCTTCGCAGAACGGCCCGCCCGGCCCACACCACGCACTGTCGATGCCAAGAAAAAGTGAGCATTTTGTGAAGACGGTGGTTCCAAACGTTGCGACTGTTGCTTGGAGTTTGCTTGCATCTGTCCTCGGACCTACAATCGCCGCATACCAGCAAATGCATCGCACTTAGAAATGCTACTTCTCTGGTGTCTGGCTCAGGGTTGCCTTGATTTTACGGTCATCAGGCACATGCTAGGGCATCCTAGATTCTGACGTTGAAGCCCGGTATTGCGACGACCCCGCACCCTGAGCCCCAAGCAGTGGATCCTACATTGAACCCTGAACTCCGACTGGGAACGGTGTAGCCTCAGCAACAAGACTTCGTCATCTGCGATTGGCTTTGTAGCGGAGTAGGGCTGTGGAATCCGCCGAAGCACGCCATGGAGTTGAACCTTGGCCGGAAGGATCCCGATTTCAGCTGAGGATCGGACTGGGGCTGAGGGTTGAGGGAGGAGTTCAGGTAGCTGCGGAGGAGCCTGCCCCGAAACCCGAGTCTTTGTTTGTAGGTGGGACGGGGTTCGCACGGCACTTGATCCATGGTTCCTTGCAGTTACTCCTTGTCATGCTTCTCGGAATGTTTGCGCAACCCATGCAGAGCTGTCGAGGGTCGAGTGTCGTTGTTGTGCGTCTTCCTGGCATTCTTTTCTGTCGTTGCGATTGTCATCATGAGGTCGACCTGGCCAGAAGCACCAGGCCTGCCCCCAAATTCCAAGCCACTACAGGAAGTACAACTATTCCAACATACCATGCCATACCCTGAACCCAAGAGATCCCTAACACTGTGAAGGTCATAAGAAGCCCTATAGCCCTAAACCCCACACCCAACACGTAGATCCTTCTGCCGCATGATAAGGAAAGTCACCTCCAAGAAGGGCACCGGATTCTACATCCGTGCGGCAGCGACCTTTCTGAGGGGCACGGAGGACAAGCCTCCGGTGCCGTCCATCGTTCTCAGTGGTGCCTCGGCCCGGGGGGCCCTTCTTTACTGATACTACCAGGGCTTAGGGTTTAGGGTCAGTTGCTGCACCACCACCACCATAAGCAGAGTACGCTTTTCGTGCATATTCTGGTGGTGCTCGAGGCTTCGACAGTCTGCTGAAGGCCAGGACAAAGACCCCCAAACCTGCCGCCTTCACTTCCAACTGGTGGGTCAGGGGATTTACTTCGTGGGGTCAGCGGGTCAGAAGTACTCGAACACAAACCCTGTCAAAAGACCCTGCCTTGAAGCCTTCACACTGCATCCTGAAATCTACATGTCCGCGACAGCCCACATATAGAGCCCCTATTGAAACCCTGGCCCTGAACCCTCAAACCCCAAAGCCTCACATAAGCCCGAGAAGTCGGGTATAGAACCCATATGGATACCTGTAGAGGCCCACAAAGGAATTGTTCTAGAACCCTCAAGGAAACCGTTCTGGTATCCGGAATCCAGCACGGAGCCCTCATGACTCCTGGCAGCCTTCCAGAACCCCTTTAGGAGCAACCGTTACAGTATCCCGAAGCCAAAGAAGTCAGGTACCGGATCTGCGGCCTCCGTCGTGGCCGATGTGGCCCACGCCATCGAGAAGCAGGGTCTGGCCAAGATCACGCATGTGGAGACCTCCTTCCCAGAGGCATGTAGGGGACGACTTAGTGGTGCCTGGTTTTCCCATTCGGGGTCTCGGGTTGTGAGGACTGCCAGGGACCATCTGTGGAAGCTTCTGCAGGGGCTCCAAGTTGTAGTAGTGGAGTTTCCGAAGCCCCCTTCAATGCTACCCTGGTAGAACTCTTATAGTTTGTGTACAGAACTCTTGCAGCATCCTTGTAGAACCGTTAGGGTACATGGAGGGTCATGACATGTTCCAGGTGGCCAACCGTGGGGTTCCTCGACTTGCAGCCACTCTGACAGCCCCCTGGCCCCACCCGGATCCCAGCAGCTACAGCAGCTTAGCCGGCACGGAGAGATCTAAAGATAATATGAGAGAAGAGCTAGGAATCCGGTCTGCAGTGCACGTCTGTCTCGAATGCTATGTACAGCGCACGCGCGCGCGCGCCCTCTGTTGTGAGAACAAGCGCCAAGATCAGGTAACTTCGACGAGGTGGTAGTAGAGAGCTACGACTTGGATCAGGAGAGTCTGGGCCGCGATTCGTTCGTTTAACGCCCTCGACCCCCCCCCCCACCCACACCCCCCTGGAGTCTCGTTCCTCGCGGCACAAGTAAGGATCGACTTTGACAAGGGGGTGCTTACCGGGTCCATCGTGCTGCACCTTTCCGGCGTCAAGGAGTCGAGCACATCGGTGGCTTGGTAGCCAGAAATGTTGAATGGAACCTTGAAGAAGGACATTGACATTGCTGTTTGGTACTCTCAGTTTGCGCATCAAGAACAACAGCTGCGCGGTAGGTCCTGGTGCGGGCGAAGCCTTCTCTAGCGACGCCTGCCCTACATGCGACGAGTGCGATTAAACTTCCAATGCCGAACATCACAGTGCAGCCTCAACCCACGGACGAATCCAAAGCCAGCAACTGCAGAACAGAGTCCATTGCAAACACAACTGTGCAGCCCTGACAAGCCCTACAAAACCTAGAAGATGAAAAAGCGTCCTGTCCCTCCGAAGCCCCAAATGCTAAATTCCAAACGTTAAGCCCTGGGCCTAGGCCCTAAACCCGAAAGAGGCAAAACGGAACAGTTCATACAACAAACCTACGGAGCTTTCCTTTCTTTGCTCAGGTGGTGCTCGACACAAGGGGCCTCGACGTGACTGGCGCCTTCTGCGGCAGCGAGGCGCTCCAGTTCGCGGTGGGAAGCCGCGGTGGGGGCCCGAGTTGCTCCCGTTGTCCTTTAGAGCCTCGGGTTGAGGGATGAGTGTCTAGAAGAGCGATGGGGAAACCGACAAGAAGCAAGCCCGTTTTCCGGTGTTGCTGAT